ACTTTCTCACCACTCTCTTCCAAAGACCTGATCATAGCTACCTCATGAGACTTTCACTGCTCTTGCAAATCGAAAAGCTTTTCAATCTTTCTTTCTAATACCTGCTTTGATATACACAACTCTTCATTTTCTTGCCTTAACGAAGTTTCAGAGTCACTAGTAATAGACTTCATCTTCTGATGCTCTTTTTTCTTAATATAATTTTTAACTGCTTTATTTAATAAATCTTCCATTTCAGGGTGAATACTACTTGCCTGTTCTAGCGATAATTGATATTTTTGAGATGTAAAGTGTCACTATATATCTATTTTGATAGATTGAGGAAGTTGGTTAAGTTGCTTCAAGTAATATATGTGAAAAGATGGTGTTAGTATGCTAGTCATTGTTACTATAGGTAACTAATAAAAAATTCTAAGAATTAAAGAATTCTGTGTATTCAGGGAAGGGAATTCAAAGAATTTTAAAATAAATTCACACGTCAGTTTCGTGATACCAATCTGGCAGATCAGCTAGATATATTAGTTGATCAAGAATTTCACGTGACATCCTGATCATTGGTCAGCAAAAAAATCATGTGATTTTGACCGGGATCCTAGCTGAAAATTGCCAAGAAAATTTTATTATCTGACGCATTTGCTTTATTAATAATTTAACTTAATAAAAAAATACATGTATCAAATCTCTACTCTATGAATTTTTTTGGGTTAAAACCGTTACTACCATTTCACTAGAACTATGTTCATTATCCACAGAATTAAAATCATATAATATCTTGTGAATTGAACATGTTACAGACATCCTCAATGTCAACAAAGTATGGATAAGTGAATATACAGCACTCAGTGAAGTTATATGCAATGGAATTGTTGCCTTCTCTATTAGATAGTACTTGTAAATTCCCGATTCTTTTCGCATAGCATAAAGCTCTATAACATCACCTAAAAATAAATAGGACAGAATATAAATGATTTATAAATATATAAAAAAATAGAAAGTAATTTTCGCATGTGTACCTGCAATATTAATTGTAAATATGGTCAGATTCTGCCTCTTGGATGGTTGATTAAATATCTTTTTTAAGGTTTTTTATGCTCCTTGTAATGTCAATAGAATCCTTAGAAAAACGTATTAATTTTTTGTGATCACGAACCCGCTTATTTTGACTGGAATTAGGTCTACCAGTCTCAAGATAAACAATTTCAAGTTTAGCATTTTTTCCTATCTGGGTTACCATCATATAATCAGCTCTTTACCCCTTAATTTAGAAGACATATTAATTAAAACAAAATATATGATAGTAGTGTATCTTTCAAGTTAAACCTACCATATGTCCTACGCTATCAGTTTTCCTGGTAAATCACTCATCACTATATTTATCAATGGTGCAAAAACTTCGCAAACATACAATCCTTCATTTATCGATTTTCCCTTCTTTATATATGCTTCATATTTTGGTGATTTCCAAACTTTGAGCCTATAATTATTTATCAGTTAATAAGCACTTTTTTCGAATTTATGAGAAAAAAAGAAAATCTATCCTGGACAGATTGGCTATTTCCTGCAAATGCATAGCATCAAAGGGGAAATTTGTACTTACATTAATTCTAACATCTGTTTTACTAAATCTTGTAATTTCTCAGATTTATTAAACCATTCTTCATAATTAATATTACCCAAAACCTCATTCATATTAATTTTCAATTCCTCATTTCGGATAATTTCTTTATAAGCTTCCATTATATCATGATTCTATTCTAACTTATATTTTTGAAATGGTTCCTTAAAAATATCATAAACTGACCCTGGTATATTTGTAAAGGATTCTGACTTGATATCCAAAATGTCTAAACAAATCGAATGATCAAATCCAAGGTTCTCCATATTTATTTTCTCAAGTTCCATTTCTATTCTCTCCTATATAGTTTTCTCATAACTAGTGCTCTCATTTATGCATCGACCAACATCATGTTTCAGAGATCATAAATTTATATTTGCATCTTCATACTAGACTTCGGTATCAATTACTAATACTTCTATTTCTAAAAGTGAGCATAGATTCTCAAATGCTGTCACGACCTAAGAACATATTTAAAATTAGTTTTTCAAGGCTAGTTTAACAAATAATTTAATTTTACATTGTGAAATCAGATTAGGTTTTCATTTTCATAAAGTTTCAAGTATCGGCAAAATGTCTAATATGTATCATATGGTATACAACTAGTTACTACTATGTGAGAAGTAATAATATTACAACAGACATCAGCCTCTTCGCTAATAGTTATACCATACTAGAAAACCTAAAAATACAAGTCATTATATCCATATATTTATCATAAAATATTCATTACCATACCCGTTTCGCCAGTTTTTTCCAGTACCAAAACTTCGAAGCTTCTTTACCTGCTCAATATCCTCTGAGGGGACTTGTTCTAAAACTTTTTGCAAAACTTGTTCAAAGTTCTTTACTTCCTTTTTGAGAACGCCTGTCCATTCACCTTTCTCTACTCATACAAATAATGCTGTGGAAATTCTAACAATATCAAGGGGTTCTCTTGTTAAAAGAAATTCTTTTATATTTTGATAAAATAAAAGTTAAATGTTAGTATAAAGTTTGCTAAGCAAAATAAAAAAATAATGTAAAGGCATAATAATTTCACTATACTGCTCTTTTTAATATTTGTAATTTTCTTATTCACATCTCTGTCGAAGCAGAAGAATATGCAATGCTTTTTACGCCAAAAATATTGTGTTCGAGAATAAGGGCATGAAGGATGTGCATTAAAAATCTCAACTTTAGAAAGGTGTTAGGGATAATGCATATATAGATTTCTCATCCATCTACTTAATATTATGACCTGGCAATATTATATAATATATTTCAGTCGGAATGGGTAAACCTAATATAGTAGAAATAGTCTGTCTCTTAGCCAGAGGTGAGCAAATATACATATCAGTTAATATATTATTTTTCTAGAATATTGCAGAAGAAAAAATTTGATAAATTTTTTGGGAGGATCGATTTATGTGTGAAATTATTTATTACACAAGTAGATAGTCGTACTTATACAGATGATTGGCAGTGTATCACAATTATATCATATATACATTTCACAAGCTTTAACGAGGATCAGGAACATGTTTATTTATACTTTAGCACCTTAATAGTTGTCGCACATGCCTACATGCATTGGCATAAAATGCAGACAAATATACTCTGTGGCTAAAATAATATTCAGGACCTTTCGTTAAGAAAAAAAATGTAAATAAAGATATATATCAAGAAAGTAATAGTCTATATTAAAATCATTTCTCAATCAACAATCGTGATTTTTACCCTATTTCTCAATCTTAACGTAGTATCTTTTGGTTGATTAAGATAGTTTGTAGATGGTATCAAGTTATTTTATTTTGTATATCAAGATGAGATAAATAATCCATTTATCATGTATTTTCTTAGAAAACCTTCTGAATATCATATTAATAAGGAGTTAGTGGTAAAGGAGGATGAGTCAATAAATAGGCCTTAACTATGAAATATGATTCATCTTTACTTTCAGCTTTGAAGCAAGAGCAATCCCAATGATTCTTCATCAAATCTTCAGACTCACTTCATAGACCCATCTATGCTATTCATCATAATAAACTTTTCTAGGCTTTACTTCAGCAATCTTCACCAATTTCTAGCATTTGAAACAGATAGCCATCTGACTTTTATGAATACTAGGTCTACGATAGCTAAAGTAATCTTTATATAGCTCATCGTTAATGTAGTATGTTTTAGATTCTACTTGCCTGAATGAAGCGAAAAGCTATACACAGATATAAACTATATTCTCGCTTAGAAAGTAATTCTTGTAGAGAACCTCTTATATGATTAGCCCATTGCTGAAGTGTTTCATGAGGTTTAATGATAGACATTGCTTTTCTATTTCAACCACTTTTTTAAACTGTTCGTTTAAACGACCGTTATAATAGTTAGCAACATGTTCTATATCATATCCAGGACGGAGATTGACAGGTTTAGGTACAGTTTTATTATAAATATTATCTAAAATGATCTTAACCATTAATTCAGGCATTTGTATAATTATATGTGATTATGAACAATAAATAAGACTTATAGCAATTTTAGTGATTTATAGTGTTTTAGCGAATATTTAGCGTTATAGCAGTTTGTAGTAAGTATATTATAATAAAATATCGGATTCATTTTTTTATTTGATGACAAGCATATCGAGGGTTTATATAAGGTCTACATCTGGCTATGTGCATATCCACATGCATGTAAATCGGTTTGTGGATCTCTGGGGATTTTCCAATGGCATAATTCGGTTAAATTAGTTCGAGATAATATAATAGCTAAATGATTTTAATCAGAGGTGTATGACGTATCACAGGAATCAGGTTTCAGATTTTTTCTTTAGCCGGATAAGCATAATGGGAATTCGGGAAAATGATTATGAATAAAATGCACGTGCTTGTCCGAGCTCGTCAAGAAGCTGGATCAGCATACGGTAAAATTTATCTTCCGAAATAGCCGATCGTTAAGTACTTCATAAGTAATTGTACATGACTATCTGATGGTAGAGTCTGGACACGGTGTCCAGGCTCGGCAAATTATTTTCCATGAAGTTTGGCAATCAGTTACCCCTGATATTGGTGGGATATGCAAATGCTTTATTATATGTTTGAGAATACACGTGAACGAAATTCTGTTTTTTCTGGTGGTAGAGTCTGGACACCGTGTTCGGGCTCGACTTAATTGTGCAGAAAAAAGGATTAATCACATGGCGCAGTAGTCAACAAATTAGTCATGGTTTTTTTTTTATTCGAAATTTTATTGGAAGTGGCAAGTATAGGATCAATTTATATTGCTAGGCAGATATGCAAATGCTTTATTAATATATGTTTGAAATACAACTGCTAATCTAGTCTGTCTTATTTATTAAATCATTAAAAATAAATTTGCAGTAGTTCTCCGATCACAAACTTATGTAAGTTTACAAAATATTAGTATTTTCTGTTATTTCCAACAATGCCTTCCTAGACGATCTCTCATAAGATTGTTTAACTATAGCACCAAATTTTTCTAACCACCTCCCTTCATCAGTTATTTTCCACCTACTTGCATTCTCGACAAATACAACAAGTGATTTTAACTCTCCCTTCAACTCGCCTATTAATTCTGAAAATGACATTTTCTCTCCAAACTTGATAATTCCAATGATTTGACACAATCCGACGTAGTCCCGAATAATTGCTTGACATGGATCGGAGAGAAGTTGCAACAGAGTT